AGAGAGAGAGAGAGAGTGAGTGAGTGAGTTGGAGGACACCGGTCAGAGGCTTCTGTATTCGGTCCACTATCTTAAAAACTACACCAAGGCAGCCTTTGAGGAATGCGTGATGTTGCCACCGGAAGTTGCCTTACTCCAGGTCTCGGTAGATCCTATGCAATCCTTTTGATCGGCTTTATACTATTTCTCGATCTTTATTTAAAAGCATGTTCCGATCGGCACGGCAGACGACTGGAACAGCCAAGTCTCCGATGGTTCTTTGTATAAAAGTGCGAAATTGTGATATTGCGCTGAAACGGATGCGCCACGTTTCAGATTTGCACTCGCTTGTCGTTGTAGAGAGAATTATGTGTCCTCTTCCCCCAACAATGTAGCACAAATGGACTGATATAGCAGATAAAATATCAATGACTGGTAGTAATCTAGCGCTAACTGGCTTGGCAGAGTTTGTAAACATGCGGTTCAGGGCAGCAACTGGCATGAGAAGGGTATGTAAGACGTTTTTCTGCGTCGTCAATTTCACGGAATAATCTCCTAGGCCGGATGGCTTTACAAGTTTCCTAACCAAAATAAGGCCAAGTGCAGACCATGATTCAAGGACATGCTTACTGTGCTCACAGTTTCACCCAACTTCCGGCTGTCAGAGCTCTCTTTCCAAATAAGTCCCTGATAGTTAAAAGTGCATACAGGAACATGATGCATGCTTTGTTTGCTTGGAGTTCCGCCTGGATATAGATTAGAAGTCAATTGTTCGATGCGGACGGTTGGATTGTAGGGAGATATAACAGGTTGGTACATGCACCAAAATCCAGAAACCAAGCAGGGACAACTTCACAGAAGACGGAAGAATATTCTACCCCGAATCGAGGTGTTTGGCTTCAGGCAAGCCTAGGAATTGTTCCTGTTACCCTTGACACTCTAGCAGAAAAGATGACAACGGGTGCGTTTTTAGGTACAAGGTTCGAAATAACATTAGAAAAGCGAGACTCTTTGGTGAAACGGAATCAGGCTGCTACCCACTTCTATGGACACCGATACATCGGGTGGTTCCACGAGATGTACTCCCAAAGCCAATGATACCAGGCATTTATCAACGAATGAAACCTAATATATAGATGTTGACAGGCATTTGTCATAGGGAGCTTACCCGTGCGAGCTTTCTTATCTGCGAAAGAAGTGACTGGCTCACCTTTTGACGAAGTCGCCTTCGACAAACTGACCGAAGACAGTATAGGAAGCCTTGTTGGGTGTGGCGTATCCGAAGTGGGTTGGGTATATGTTTAGCGCTTAAAACGTGATAAACAGCCTTTTGCCGTAAAGACATTGCTGAGTTGGCAACTTCTTGGTCCGTTGAGAATTGGGACGAAACAGACGTTTGTCAGTCATTGTATAACCGGATACGGTCAGGGCATTCAGGAGCCTTTGCAGCGTCTCCACGAGTCGAACTTCACAGACACTTCAGCACACAACTCAGTCTCTCTCTAGAGGTTCAGAAAGCATTACTGATAGTTGTGACTGGTGCGGTGCTTATAAATAGCCCAGGTTTTTTCCATTTCAAAGTGTGGCTTACTAGACCCATATGTTGAAGTCCTCCCCGGACTCTATGACAGTCAAGTTTTTCGTTAACGAAGTGGGTGCTTTGCTCTCAGAGGAAGTTTTCCGCAAGAGGAATCGGCCTTCCAATAATTGCAGGACTTCGCTAACCATGTACTTGTGATCAACATTTACTTGCCAACGAAACCCCCCACGTATAGATGTGTTTCTTTTTGTATTTCTTCAATGTAAGGTCCTCTAATTTTCGTTTATCCGTGGCTGGCATAGGCAAATGTCTATTACGATCCCCGTGCAAATGTGAACTTAGTTGGGACGATCGGTTAGAGGATGCCTATCGTCGGTGGGGGGAGAATTGTTTATCTGACTTTCGCAGCCTCCATCAATTGCAATTGCATAGGTTCAAAGAGCCTAAGGAGTTGTATTCCACGTGCCGAACTTCATGTATTGCATGACGCATCGGAATCTGCATATAGTGTGGTAGCATATGCTTGCGTCAAGGACAACGCTAAGGTTTGTTGGCTGTCGCTTGTCTTCTCGAATGCGCGGTGGCTCGCTAAATTCCGTTCCAACACCGAGGTTACAGTTTACAGGCGTGTGTTTGGCACTCAAAGTAGCAGATCTAAGTGAAACGTGGATTAAAGGCTATCTCCGGTCATTTGTTTTCCATAGGTTCTGTGATGGTGCTCTACTATGTCTTCAACATCTCCTCTAGATTCTGTAACTTTGTTGCAAGCAGAATAGCCGTTGTTTGCGATATGTCGTCACCGAATTAATGGAGACAGGTAATGTCGGAGGACAATAAAAATGACTTTGCTCTTCAAGAGAAATACAACCTCAGTTCTCTGTGTGGATGGTCAACTGGGCTAAGAATTTTATTCGAACCGGAGATTAATTTGCCCATGTAGCCTCGATTGATGCATCCCTCAAGGTCGATACAAATAGCGAAGTGAAGGAAGGTGCCTACTAACATCCGCGATCCCCCATTGGATCAAGATACGGAAGGTTGTAGCTCTGTCAGTACGCTACAACCAAATCTATTGATAAAGTCTGGCGGGGTGATGAAAATATCATGCTCTCTGATGGAGAAGTGCCCCGCGAAAAATAGTTTTCAGTGGTGGTGGACGCTACAGAGTTGAGCTACAATGGCTTACCAAGAACCCTGCATGTAAGAACACCAGGCGGCGTCCTAAACCGGGATCTTGGAAAGGTCCGTTCGAGAATCCTGGCAGCTCTGCTGCATCTCCATATCCATTATTCCGGCCCTACACTTCCTGTAGTTTGAAGTTTTTTTGTTTTTCTCACGTTCCAGTCTGGAAGCTCTTTGTTGTGCCCTCACTTGTATTGTTTTCTTTGCCCGCCACTTTTAAACCTCAACGTTCAGATCTCGCGCCATCTGATAT